TTTGTACAACAGCTTTGCTGGTCTGTTCACAGCTAAACAGTGCTTACTGGACACTTAACAGAATGCTGGGTAGGAAAGGAAGGAATTTTTTATTGTTTGGAGACCTGTTTTGAAGGAACAACTGGCAAGATCATGAAAAAAGAAAAAATCTGCTCAGTAAGCAAAATCAGGCAGTAAGTATAACCACAAGGACTAATCATCTTTGTCCCTTTCATATGTACTACAAACTGAAAGGTGAACTGCATATTAAGGTAAAATATTCTCTTACACTCAAAATTGTGTTACAGGCAAAAGACCGTACACCTTATCAACACAGTAAAAAATTTATTACTTTTTTTACCAGCTCTTTATTGCCTCTACCATTCACTAAGCTGAAGCCCAGGACAAGTCAGGTTCTAGTCGTTTGGCCACTGTTAAACAAGCTACAGCCAAGTCAAGTAAAACCTGAGATTCTGCTTTGCCAGGTCAGCACGAAGTCTGGTGCCTTTTACTAGTAATGCGAAAATCATACACACTGTACTACAATATATGTAATCATCCCGATTCTTTTCAGCACATGTAAAATAAAGACAGAATTTTCATAATACAGATACATTTAAATGCTTTAATCAGATGTATAGAGATGAGGCAGAGGTTTGAAAGTGACTGAAGGCATGAAAGGGGCAGCAAGACAAACAGTATCTAACATCATTAAAAAGAAAATAAAATGCATTTTTGCAAAACAAGAAGTGATCTACAGAAAGTTATCTAGGAGCTGCTAATGCTAATATCAACTACCTGTGTTTTTTTAAAAGTAGCAACAATAGAATGAAAGATGGAATTAAAGCATGATAGACAGTAGGAATGTCTCATACTTAGTCTGAAGATAATTTTGAACTCCAAACAATGAGTGAAGAAGCTTCAGATACACAATACCATTTTAAAAATAAAAAAATTATTATTTTTATTTTAAATATTCCAAGAATAAAGTAGTGGGATGACTTATCATTCCAATAAATATGAAGAAGATTAAGAAGCTGAGAGAAGTTCACGAAGAATTGAATATAGTGAAGTCGCCAGTGGGCAGGACACGCGGTTAAATAAATGAAGGAACAATTAAGTGCCTTCTGGAAGACCAAAGGAAAACATTAAATAAGACCTAAGAGCTCTCGCTGAGATCTGCTAACACTGTGAAAAAATTATCCCTGACAAAACCGGAACAGACAACTGGTGAGAGCAGGGGAGGATCTCTGGGAGACAGAGAAAACTGCTAAGAACAGACCGCCTGATGGCAACTCTCCATTTCTGTGATTTTAAACGCAAAGCAATGTCTGCTTCATGATTCCCATGAATTGCCTACTATTGATCCAAATGTTTTCTCACAGCCTGCTATGTAAACCTCTCATAGTCACTGTATTTACACAGAAGTTAAACTTTTTGTATTCATGTTTTCTATTTGACCACCTTGGAGTATTGCATCCCTTCATTCACTATATAAAACAGAAAACATAGAATTAATTGGCATAAAAATCAAGTATAAACCTATTTCTGATTTCTCAGATTAGTAGTAGCTCTCACGCTTCTTAACAGTCAACTGATTCTGCTTGCTGATTACTTGACGTTCTTGCCTCTAAACCTTACAGCTGTCTACAAAACTTTTTACAATGTCCTATAAGCTATTCACCTTACTGACTCTATAGGTAAGTAGTGAACACAGGTCCATGTACTATATGGGACTAGAAGTGCAGCTCCTTTAACTGTACCTTCTACGCATTATTTTATTTTTTATTTTTGTAAAGTGTCATCAAAATATTTAAAACTGCAGCCACCTTTCCTTAAACAAAATGCTCATAGGAATTAGGTGTGAAAGTTCTGTCAAGTCAACAAGAAAATCTTTTTCACATACTGTCTGATCCCTCCCTGGCATGACAAAGCACTTCATAAAGTAGTTCAATAAGGAGGTTTGCAGTGCCCGGCTACCAGTGAGAAAGGTGGGAATTTAACTGTAGTTGATAGGTTGGAAGGCTAGACTCTCCTGTTTATCTGAACTCCACTCATGCTAAGTTGGAGCTCCCTGAGTCAGTGCCTGCAGCTTTAAGGTGTTTAAGGAATACTATGACACTGAAAAACAGACAAACGAGAACTCTGTTCCACACCAGTATCTTTAGTGCAGAAACGCACAGGAAGAAACTCTGCCACCTGTGCATCAGCATACAGTTCTGTCGTGTAATTCCTGCCAGTCAGTTCAACTACTATTTCTATAGTCAGCATTAGACTATGCCCCAGAACAAACTGCTGATGTCCCCATGTTAACACGGAAAGCTGACCTTAAAAGCTGCTAACGAAAGTAAGTTAGTAAATTATGAGCGGTGTATAGAATAAGGACTAAGAGACCTCAGCTTCCTCCAGTGAAATTACAGGCATAAGTACAGCGAAACTATGAAATACAAAACACACCTGCATCTAGGCTGTGGTTTCAGTTAGCCTAATTCTTTGTGATAACCAGGGTGTGTACTTCCCAGTAGACAGCAGTCTAATTATTCATACCCTACTCATATAGTTACACAGAAGGCTGCACACTTGACTACAGCAAATTCTGCTTTGTCAGCTGTAAGTAAAAAGAAACAGTGAAAAAGTGTGCATCTTATATCTATAGGACCACAACAGTCAGAAATCTTTGTGCCAAAGGCAGACCACTTTGACTTCTACATAAACTCAGCAGGTTTATATGCTGACATCTGTTACTTCCCTGCACAAGAAGGGAAAAAGAAGGTCGCTGTGATATTTGCCGTACAACAGCAGCATTCCTTCTGCAGCCTTCCTTGGCAGACGCCGTATTTTGCTTTCTTATGTTCACACACACGATTCATTTCACAGGCACTGAAATGCCTGTCGCAACAAAAGTAGTAACAAAGTATTAAAATAAATCAAACTTTCCCAGGATAGCTATGCAAATATAAAAAGTCCATACAATGAAAAATTAAGCAATAAATGTATTTTTATTATAGTACAAATTATAATAACAAAGGAAACTACTAACTCTTTAAAATATTCAAACTGTAATGTGTAGATATTGGATTCTGTGATTGTATGGAGACAAAGAATAGCATCATGGCTATAAAAATGAATGGCTGTACGTGATTCTTGGGCTGCTACGTAAACTGATCATACAGACTGAAAAGATTTACTCTGAACAATATTCAATTAAAAATATTTTAGAAGAAAGTCACAACAGGAATGCTCTGGTTTTACATTGCAGTAGTTGGGGAATTTTTGTTCCTGTGGGTGAAGGTCTGGAGAAAGCAGAAGAGCAAATTAACTGTTTTCACATGTGCTTACTTTCCAGAATGTAAACTTAATGGAATCTGAAAATGGTTTCACATCAAAATATAGACTGGGCAAAATTAGTGGCAAATTGGTGAAATTTTTATTTCTCATAGTATTTGGCTAATCAGCACTGAAATCTTCATTGGACAACAAAAGGCACAAAGAAGGTCATGAAGAAGTATCATGGGTAGGCACTTCTGTCTGTAAACTGGGATTTGTACTAGGCAGAGCTAAGGAAGAAAGAATGAGGGTGATAATTCCATGTGGTTCCTAATTATGAAGCACTAGTACCTTAACAAAACATTCTTGTTCAAGACTTTACGGTATTACCGGAACATTACTTAATTCTTTCATGAGTGTATTTGTATAACAAAGGCAATGAAATGTTAACTTGTAATCTATGGTATGGATTTTTTGTGCTAAAAAAAATTGTAATGCTGGAAGGAGATATGATGTATTTTTCATAAAAACATTTTAATTTTACAAAACAGGTAAATTCTTATTTTTAATTGTTACTATTCATATTTTATTTAGGTCTATCTTTAAAATAATTTAATTTATGCTCAAGTCTATTTCATTAATGGGGTGAAGAGAAAACTCACAAATATGTCCACTTGCCAAATGAAATCTTACTTTCCTACTTAATGTATGTTTTCTCATTAAAAAAGACATTTTATTCTTCTTCTTACATTTCCTCAAGTCCCTGTTTATATGATTATGTAGACAGTACATTCATTCAGAGCTATACCAGTATATCAATCCTGTTGATGAAGACTGAAATACCTCCACCATGAAATCAACAAAAAATAGTAACCATGGACGATTTCAGGCAAAAAAGGCATCCCTTTTTTGGCTAAGAAACTAGGTTGCCATATATGCTACTTCAAATAATCACTGGGGTTTTTTTATGCAGAGCTAGATCCATTTGCAAGCAACCCTGTATTTTTGAACCCCTGATTAGGTCATTCTTTGCTGAGAAAAAGTGTTAATTGACATGATATAGCTAATACCGTATTGGCTACAGCTGATCCAGAAATGCCCATAAAGAATCGAGACAGAAAGTACAATTTATCAAAATGGAAGTATCAAGTAATTTTAAAAGGCTGATCAACTGACACCAACACACACCCTTTCTTCCAGAAACAAACCTAATCCTGTACCTTTTACCCAGTATTTTCCAAAACCTCCTTAGTTAGGTACTGAAAGCTCAGGTACTTCTCCAGCATGACTCTACAGAATACTTAAGAGAATGCTACAGTATTTTTCATTCCAGCCTTGTGGTTAAAACGAATGGATTTTTTTTTTTTTAATTAGAGCTTGCTAATTATTAGGAAGTAACAGGAGCAGCCTAATTATTAGGCTGCTCTCAACAAGGGAGTACCCTCCCCTTTTGAAACCAAATATTTTTGCAGAGGAGACTGCAAGACAGATGGAAGAAAGAAAATAAGAAGCAATGCTTCCTCCTAGATAAGAGGTGATATGTTTTCTGGTTTTCATGACAGAATTAAGAATATTTGTGTTTTTTAATCTAACAACTGTTAATATTCTTCTATCTCTTACTCAATGAAACATACAATAAAAGATTTAATATAGTTGCAATTTAAATTTTAAATTCTGTAAAACAATTGTTCTAATTTTTAGGTCCAACACCAACAAAAAGGATACCAATTAAAAAAAAAAAACAAAACACTTACCTGATGAGATGTCTATTCGGTTCTTCTTTACTTGGGTGACATTGATATGGACGCTGACTTTGCCCTCAGTTATGTCAATCTCAACATTCCCCAGGTCATCTGCAAAGTTGCTGAAGACAAGAAGTCCATTGGGGTTCCAGGTTCGGAAAAGGAAACTGACTGAAAACAGATCCTGGCTTGGACGACCAGGAACCTCAAGGTAACTGGTGGCATTGAAAAAGACAGGCACTGTATGTGGCTCCACACAAGAAAAACTTAAATTTCCCTAAATAAAACACAAAAAAAGCAAAAACATAAGCAAAATGGTAAGATTCCAAAAACATAAGCAAAATGGTAAGATTCCACTAAATTCATAGCTACCTCTAGAAAAGTATTCTAGGTTTCATTCAACCTAGAGACTACTGTGATCAATGCAAGTTGCATGTAAAAGTGTGTTATTAATATTACCATTATTGTTACTATTATAATGTTGTTGCTGATGTTTCTATTTTGTCTAGCAGTGGCCCCATTATATTTTGTACTGTACATACACACAATAAGAGGCCCTCTTTGACCTGAAGAGTTATAGTCTAACTAAGATAAAGCTTAGAAAAAAGCATTAATATTCCCAGTTCAAAGATGAAGAAATGAATCACAGAGAAACTTGGGCTTGTTCGTGGTCACCAAAGAAGCCTATAACAGAGCAGTAATTCATCCTTTTATAAAAATGAAATACAGCTTTCCAAATACCCTTACATCAATGTGTCAATCAACATAATACATGAGGTTATGAAAGAAGGATGTATAATACCTCATGAAGAGCTAGCCTCTCTGTTATGTTTTCTACTGGATAATAATAGATAATCTAATGCTTCATTTCATGAAGCAGAAGGATTTGGAGTAGCTGATCATGAACAATGCCTAATATTTGTAGTTAGTCAATAATTTTCTCTGTAAAAGAAACCGCAGTTTTCACACTGTAGAATTTTACTCTTTGGGAAACTGACAAAAATCCAGTCAACTTTATTGATTTCCATGGCTTTCAAATGTATCTGTAAACAAGACTAGAATTAGGGACATGAATTTTTCGCTTTGGTTCTCACAAAAGACCACAATGGCAGGATGTATTACCATTTTATTTCCTTAGAAATCGTAAATAATTTGTAGCACTCTCTGTTCAGAATTGACTTTTTAATGCATCAATGCAAACATAACAGGAAAACTTCCTCTGCTGAAGAATTCCTTTAACATGTGGCAAAGTGGGTCCTGTTCTATGGTTAGGCTTTCTGATCCACTGTGACAGATGGATACTCTGTAGCAATTTCAGTTCAATTTGGGAAGGAAGAATTTTATCTGATGCAATATGGAAATAATTAGTACAATCAAGAAAGCAAATCATTTGATATTTATTTGTATATTAAAAAAAATATTAAGGATTGAACAACATTTTTGGAGGTACCTAGATGTTTAAAGACAAGGTTCACCTAAGCACTGCTCAGAATCCCAGTCATCCCACTGCTCAGTCATCATCTTTATCACATAAATATTTTTAAACTCCATATTACTGACTTCCTGATAGAAGCTTTTATGTCACATATTTTTGTATTCATAGTGTATAAATGCATCTGAAAGTTCATCTTGAGGGAAGTTAGAGAATTTGGAAAGAAGATAGGAACTTTGTGTCTGAAAATGTGTGGGAGGAAAGTCCTAAGTAAATTTTTTTTAGAAGTAATTATTTTCAATTGGAGATAGGCTAGATGACGTCAATAAAGAAGCAAGATTTAGCACTCATTTACCAATGTCCAAACCCATCACTTTTTAAAAGAATGACACATCAGAAAACACCTTATCTGTGTCATAGCAAGATAGCACCTGCGTGGCAGATTCAGTTTTTTATATAGTATTTCCATGTCAAAGCTAAATGAATAAAAATAATAGTTTCTTGAGCACTCAGATAGATTCTTAGATTACCCTGCATAACCACCTCTTTTTCCTACAGAGCGTGAGAAGTTCTACTGCCACACAGTCTACCTATAAAGGCCAGTAGAACTAGTAGCAACTAGACTCTAAGGTTGGCAGCCTCCATCGTCAATTAAGAAACACTGATGTTTCCAATAATCTGGAAATAGAGAAGAGTTTTCTTTATACTGATCTCCTAAAAGATTTCTTCCTATCTTTATGATAAAATTGCAGCATTACAAACCATGTTCTCTTCATACACCCATGTTCCATGGATAACAAAAAATATCCAAGGGTTTAGGAAAATAATCAGTTAAAACAATTATAGGAAGCTTTTAAATGACAGTGTGATGACAGAAACTACAACTACCTTCTGAGTAAAGGGAAAGGACCTCCCCTTATCTCCTTTGCTGTGAAGCTGCTTGGCTATTCTGATTTCTTTTGTTTAAAAGTTGCTTAGAGATTTTAAGTTTTCAGCCAACTAAGTGTTAAATCAAAAGAGTTAACTCATTTGTTTGAATAGTTTTAGTCTGAACATTCCAACCTAAACGATTCTATGATTCTGTGATTCTATGATTTCCAAGTGTGCTACAGAAGGCTTTTGGTTAAACCACAAATTTCACATACAGAAAAAAAAAGCTGGAGAATAGCTGAAACACCCTCTGTAACCCTTTGTTAACATTCTCAGTGTAATAGTCACCCTGTGGATTGGAAACAGCTTCTGTTACATAGTTAAGGCAGTCCTGTGTAGACACAGAAGTCAACAGCATTTTGTAAGAGCTGACATCTCATGGTTCAGTCACAGATACCAATTAAGTACTGTTCAGAAAGCATTTTGTTAGACATTTTTAAGGGTTTCTTTTGCTGCCTTGTTACCGAGAGGAACTAACAATTTCCTCATAACAAGAAGGCTTTCATATCCAATTGACACTCTCCTGTCATCCTGATGCTTGGGATACTTGCATGTATAACACCCATTAATGTTAATGGCATCAAATGCATTCAAATCCTTTTTTCACATCAGTGAATGCATTTATCATGAACAACCTAACTGCATAAAAGATTTCTTGAGGAAGGAACATATAACTCTAATTTCTCTGCTAGTTAGTATTTTCTCTACTGAGCTATTCAGATTAATCTGAACTGGATTATCAATTCCCTCTATGACTGTAATTTACAAGACGAGTCCTCTTTTAAGTAAAGCCCATGTGATATAGATACATCACTAGGTCTAGGTCAAGAGTTCAAGCTAATCTGCAGCTTGTCTCTATAATATCATCCCTGTTTTTCAAAGAGAAAGAGATCCTTTTCTGTAGATTCAGAGTGACTTGCTGGGCAATGACATCTGGAAGTAAAACATATACTGTGCATTTATACTGAAACTGTTAGTCTTATCAGAGAATTTTTCATACTACATTGGAAGGGAAATGGTGAAAACATTTTACTTTGGGTAGCTTGAGCTTTGTATCATGATGCTGCGAATTGCCTTCATGTTTACTTCTTATAAATCAATTTTGCCTATCCACATTCAGATGTTACCCTTTGGGGAAATACTACTGGGTCTTAAAACCTTCCCCAGTTAATAGAGCTACTGGCTGAATATGTAGCTCCCAAAAGAGAGGTAATGAGTTTATTAAGACTACAATACCTGTTAAATCAGGATGGATTATACAGTTCAGGCAATGTGCTGTACACTAATGTTTATCGTGTTAGTTCAGTATTTTTCTCAAAATAGCTTATTACTCATCTTTGAGCTTACCATAATGTTCACTTGATATAAATAATTCAAAGAAAACACTCATCTTAAGTTTGTATATGATTACACTCAGTAGTACATGGCATACAAGCTGCAGAAGTGGGAGGAGCATAGACCTAGTGGATGTAAGGATGGAGGGTAGCAAATACAATTTTCCTCAGCATTTTTCAGTTACAGGCTTTAAAATTGGACAGACTGTTCTGTGGAAACTAAATCCAATTAGTATTCACACTGCCTGCCCTTAATGTACCTCTGGGTAGAAAAATTTGATAAAGTAACTAAATTCGTAAACTCAAATTTCTCTGGACTTCTTGTTAGCTGCCATGTTCTGGTCTCTTCTCACTAGTGGTACAAGGGTCAATATTCTTCAGTTATGCAAGGTAATGAAATCCTACAAAGCTTGTTATATTTTAGTAGAAAACACAGAAAAGATGGACTGGAAGACTTGTTTACAAGCATGTTCCCTGTTTCTGTCTTAGTCCTGATCAAGTTGTATAGAAAGTAGTATAGAAGTGTTAGCACTACTGTGCTAGTTAGTCACTGCCAACTCTTGTTTGCAACTTGGTTCAGGAGAAAAGCAGACACTTAAATTCTCTGTCTCGGCTGTCCTTTTCTCCCCCACTCTCCCTTTTGGGCATCTTTATCATTTGGCTCATTTATCTTCTATGAAAACAAATCAGGCTCCACTAATAAGAACAACAATAACTGCTCAAGACCATCCGTCTGACTCATTCTCCCCAAAGAGCTTGTTGCCATCTTATATATCACAAAGGACTGCCAAATTTTTTTTCCCCTTATTCTTACCCTCTAAATCAAAAAGAAATACGTTACTAAAGTCAGTGTTGGAGTTTTAAATTGTCTTTACATCCTTACTTTTCAATAAATTAAAGAGATGCTTGGTGGTGCTTTTTTTGCTCATAACACCTATCTATATGAGACCTAAAAATTTTTTTAACTTTAATTTTGTCCAGACACAAATCAAGATTATCATCTTATTATCATCTTTGATTCTCTGGGCCTCCTCATTCTGTAAAATTAACTTGTCAACTCCCTTTCACTGTGTGACTTCTGAAATTCAACTACCTGCATCTAAGAATATTTTTTTCTTCTGTCTCTCACCTATTTAATATCCTTCTTTCCTCTTCCCCTCCCCCCCCGATAAGTCTCATCACCATACTGATTACTTTGCTTGTGTTTCACTTCATTACATTTTGTCTGTCTTGCCTCTTCAGATAATACACTCTTTAGGGCAGGGTGTGCCTACTGTTATGGGTTTGTACAGGATCTTCTACAATGAAGCTTTGATCCTTGTTGGATTGCCTAAGTACCATCACCATAACCATGATTAACAACAACAGTAGTCTCAACCGAGTCTATTTTTCATGCTAAATCAGGCTAAAAAATAGGAGAAAAAAAGCTTTTGTAAGAAACACTAAAATCCATGTTGATTTAGTCAGAGTAAAATTGATTTTACTTTTGAAGAGCTGAAGCAATTTAAGTAATTCTACTGAAAACAAAGGTCACTTCTATTTTTATAGCCATTCTCAGAATTGGAAATCAACAGAACCATCAAATTAAACTAGCATGCCAAAGCTTCTTATGTGGATTTTACTTTCATGTTACAGGTAACATAATTTTAAAAACAAACAAACGAAAAAAGAAACAAAGAAAAAAACAGAGAGATGATTTTACAGAGGCTTTACAGGCCTGCTAGCTACGCCAGACTTTTGAAAGGATAGAATTTGCACTACAAAAACTGCTTAAATAACTCTTCTGTTCAGAAAGAGGCTTTAAGAATATGTCCTACTAACTTGCAGTGGACTCAACTGTGCAAAATGGAAAGATTACTCTTGTAGAAAGACCCTTTCCTAAATCAGGCATCAATCTGTGAAAACCATGGTTACATGACAAGCTTAAAATGCACTGCAGGCAGGAAATCACAGGCAATTCTGGGGAAAAAAAAAAAGTCAAAGATTCAGGAATTCATGTGACTGGGTCAAAAAAATTCTAAAAGTAGAGTCTTCCTCCACGGCATATATATCATGATCTTTGCCTTTGACAATACTGAAGAGTATTACTGAATTTGTATGGGCAAACATTACATATTGAAAATTATCCTTTGTATTACCTTGACCATTTAGGCATATTGTTCATACAATTATATGGAACTTCAATATTACTATCCAAGCAGTAATCAAATGGTAATCAATCCTTTGCACTTCATCATCACTGCATATGTAAATCTTTACTCTTTATTACATAAAGAGAAGAGAAAAGCAATAGTGGAACCATTCATATTGTTAGCAGGACTTTGTGAAGGCTATAAACTTGTACAGAAGAAAGCCTTGATCAACTTATTCAGACCGTCTCAAACTCATGGCAATAATACATTTATTTCTTACCCACATTGCCTTTGTATGCCAGCAAGCAATTTTAGGAACATTTAGAGCCTTAAAAATACAGTAATTAAAGTACATTCTTTCTTAATCACCCTGCCCGTAAAGCTGCAAGTTCGAACATGAAAGCAACTATGAATGCTTAAGCAAGAGAAAAAATAGAATAAAATGTTAATAAGTTCTGTAATGTTAATAAGCTAAATAATGATTTTCAAGTCTAATATCTTGAGGCCTTTCAGAGCTACCAGAAAGACCTGTAGAAGCATTCCCTTCCAATGACTTTTGTTCTCCCGCAATTCAACTAGCTCTGCAGGGATGGAAGATACCATGATTTAAAGCCACGAGAAAGCTCCAATTGATTTAATAATACACCCTGTCTGCACTGGTTTTGGACTGCTATAATTTGGGAGGAAAGGAAAGAAATACTTATTGGTTCAGCTGATTTTCTTTTAAAAAGTAGTCATCTGATACTGAAGGTTAATGTTGGAAAGATGAAATGGGACCCCAGAAGTAAAATGTTCAGACATAATAATAAAAAAAAAAAGTCACAAACATACATACAATAAGATCTTTGGGTATGTGATCAAGTTTGTTTTGTGTTCTGTACCATTCCAGTATATCACAAGGATATCACCTACACACACTCACAAACCTTCTAGCCTCCTTTAGAAGGTGAAGCAGATGTTTAGGTGACCATTAAATTATGCTCTTACCACATTAGAAGGTTCCAATTTCTTCCTCTTGGCAAGGTCAGTGATATTATTGCCATTGTAGTTGATGCTCTCCATGCAGCCTTTGAAATTCTTCCTACTGTTAGAACTTGGCTTCCCAGAAAAAGGCATGCCTCCAAAGGTTATCTTTGAATGAAACAGAAAATGGTAGATAATTACTGGAGGGCAAAGACTTTTAAACAAATTTGCTGTAGATGTATTTGCTTTCTTTGAACACTCAAACATGACAAATGAGAGAGCTGACAACACTGCTTACAGAAAAAGGAAGTATCAAATAAGCACTGCAAAAGCAGAAAAAAATCTGTAATGAATTTGTGATTGCAAATATTTATGGTAGTAAATCCCAAGTATTATTACAATTGTCCAAATAGTGAGCAGACACACATCACAGTTGTTCATATATGGACTGCTCTTCTGACTGCTACTGAACAATACGTATTTCAAACAAAGAACTTGGAATAACTGTCCATCCCAGTATTTTTCTAAACAAGAGCACACATGAAATTAGCCAGATAATCTGATGCAAATCATTCACTCAGCTCTAACTGTGTGCCAGAGCTCAGCCTGCAACACAGCAATGGTGGGCTCCAAAACCATACATTTCTTTCCTTTAATGCTTATATATCTACTTCATCCAGAAGAATTTTACAGAATCACATAGTTAAAGATGCTATCCCCTGACAGATAGAAGCACCTTCCACTAATGAGAATATGCTTTTATCATGTCATTAGAGTCAATGAGGAGTTACCACATGACTTAGCAGACCAAATCAGCTCCAGAGAGAAGATAAAGACAACCACTGCAAAGACCCAGCCATCAAGGTCAAAAAGGAATTGTTTTTCTCTTAATGCTGAATTTCATTACCCTAAACCACTGGGTTATCCAGAATCTCTAGTGCTAAAAATCAAAGAAAACCAAATATTTTACAAACTGAAAATGTTCATTTCTTATGAAGTCTCTCCCTGTCACTCCATAAAGACTATACAGGTCTCTGCTGCATCAGGGTCTTTTCTGAAATGTTTGGAAGTGAATAAATGCTACATGTTTCATTAATATTTTGCAGCTCAAATGTGAAGAACAAGGGACTCATGAGATTAGTCCCTGCAATCTATGTTAAGTATTTATATCCAATAGATGATGGCATAAATAGCAATGACACCTAGCTTCCCTGCCCCACAAATGCTCACAAAAATGTCTACTCATAGTCTGCTGCTGAGATTTGGCAGAGACAAGCCTTTAAATATCATTCATTGTTAATTCCATTTGTTATTATCGAGAGCAAGAAAACACAGCTGTAGGGACACATTTTCCATTTTAAAAGCATGTAAGGTATCACTTTCTATCCCAAAGAGGAGGCTTTGACTTGGCATATAAGAAGAACTAAAGCTATACAGCTGAAAACCAAAATCTTTACAAATAGCACATAACAGCTATGTAAAAGTGTTTTGTGGGACAGATCCTCAGGTATTATAAATTGACGTTACTTGACTTTAGAGAAGACATGGTACTTTACATGAACTGAAGAATGTGACTATAATATTTTAATGGCTGTCAAACATTCTTTTGCATGTTAGTCATGTGTTGGGACAAGAGAAAATGGAAAGGAAAGCATTTTGAAGAAAAAAAGAAAAATTGCAAAAAACACGTACCATGACAGTGAGTTAAGAGGGACTCATAGGATTTTTTTTTCTTTTTTACCTTGAAAATGCAATCAGAACTAATGTTTATTCCTCTATTGTGCCTACTTCACTTTTCTGAAAGAGATTAACCTAGGAACTACTTTTTTCCATGAAAAATAGTTTTGATTCTTTCAGGTTTATCCACTGTGATTAATTTATCACAAGAGCAATGCATTTAAATTTAGACTGTGATGACTGACTCCAAAACCAGTGAGATAATTGAGAGGAAAGGAAGGAGAAGAGGTTAAGGCTCTTGCATTTATATGAACCACAGAAACATATATCTACACACACTCAAATAAGTTCCATTAAACACAAGGGGATCCATGTACGTGGAGACTGAAATGTATCTTTGCGAACTGCCAGGGAGGTCTCTAATGTCAGAGAAGAGAAGATGGTGAATCTCCTGGATTCTACTCTTACTAGGGGTAAATTTATTGTATGCAATATATTTATTATGTAAACATGCTACATATTTTTACGTGTGTGTGTGTGTGTGTGTGAATTGCCCAGCCCTGGCTTATGGCATTCAGCCTAACTTTTTCTGTAGTTCACTCACTTCAAAATCTTTAATAAGATCTATTTATGTGAGTTTTCAGTAGCTCAATTCAGTCTTCAGTGCTTGATGAGCAATAGAGGTACAGGCGAATTTGCTTATTATTTTCTCAGGATAACAGCTACCAAAGAAGGCACTCATAAATATTTGTTGGAATATAAGTAAATATTTGATTTGGTAATATTTACAATCGTAAGTAATTTTTTCAAACATTCATATCACATTCTTGATCAAAAGATTGTTTGTAAAAATACCAATACACAAGTTAATTCAACCTTTTCTGCATTACACCATTTTTATTCCCACTCACTGCTTAAAAAGTTGCAAGGATGGAAATACATGTATTTCGCTCAGCCAATCACATTCATTCTCACTAGGAACAGTAAAGAGTGCAAGAAAATCACTATACCAAGTTTGTAATAACCAACATGCTGAAGTTCATGTAACAATTTAGAGAAACTGAACAACTTCATATTAGCAGAAGCCGGAGTGTAATCAAACAAATCCGTGTTTAGTTACTACCAACACTCCTGTGCATTAACCTGACTGATGAAACAAAAGTTTTCATAGAACTTTCCTAACTCTTTATTGCTTCTTTATAAAAAGAAGTTATTGATGGCATATTTGTGAAAATACAAGGAAGTATCTACCTACCTATGACAAGAAAGCTCAAGATCCATATTAGTAAAAAGGTTCTACTCTGCTTGCTTTGCTAAAAATAAATACTAATTGTCAGCACAGACTGAGGCTTTCTCATTCAAGTGCAAAATTATCACCTGAATGGAATAATAGATTGTACGATTTTTTTGTTTTCATCTACTTCCCGTTTACAGCAGCTGCCTTCAGAGATTTTAAAAGTAGTGTACGCTTAGCTTGCTGAATAACAAAGATCTCCCATTTTAAAACAAAAGGCTGAGATAACTCTTACACCAGATGGGATCTGGTAGACTAAGAAAGAGTTAATTTACACTAAGAAAGAGTTTAATTTACACTTAAGAACAATGTTGGGAAGAAAATTCCAGGAAATGTCAGGGGAAAAAAATTAAAACAAATGTACAAAAAAGTACCAAAACTTCTTAAATTATGTTAATTTTCTTTTCTCTTCTTATTGGACTTATCTTTATAAAGCAAATTTGAATGAAAACAAACAAGTTTCACTGTTTACCTCATAATCCAGGTCCAGGTAATCAAATTCTCCATTGGTTCTGAAGTGCTGCATGTGTCTGTCCAGGGTGAGATTGATGTTTCTCCCGTGGCGCTCTATGATGATGGAGTGCCAGTGGTGATCATCCAAGAGGCTGCCTGTCATCACGGATGTGTGGCCATAAATAGAACCAAGCTGGTTGCTACCTAAGATGAGAATAGAAACAATAGCAATTCTCACCTCACAGCAGTTAGGCAAACGTTTTCCTCTTGCTCTGTCAATATTTCACCTGAATCATACCAGACACACAACAAGCTGGAGGAAGTCAGTCCGCTATGAAGCAAAGATCTGCCCAGTGGAGAGCTGCTGCCATAAATGCAAATAGTTAGACCAAATACAGCAAGTATCTGATCAGTGAACTGTATAAGTAGTTATTTGTAATAGTAGTTACTTGGAGGTGAAGCAAAGAAGCAATACCAACTTTCAGTTGTAAAGTTTTCAACTAAGGGTTTTCTGTGTTTTCATCCCCACATTACCGAAATGAAAAGCTGTCATCTTTGGGCCAGGTCCTGACGTTCCCTGGAACTGTACTGGTTTATCACAGTTAGGAAGACATGGTGCGTGATAACAGACTTGGGTAGCAAAAACCCATTTCAGTCCGAGTTCTACACTTTGTAGGCTCTACCAGTATAGCTATACCAGTGAGCCTATAGGAAAAGGCTAAATGCAGACTGAGCTAACAGCAGCAAAAAATGTCTTCTGCTAACATAGCTTCTTTAGGTCTTTCCCCTGCAACAACCTTCTTATTCTGGAAGTCAAACTACTAGCAGGAGTACAGTCTTGCAATTCTCTGCTGTGTTTTCCAGGGGCTTTTGCCAGTGCGGCTATGCTAGTCAGCAATCACGTCTCACTGCAATCTGACTGACATAGCTAAGCCAGCAAGGTTGATAGCGTGGATCTCAACTGAAGCAGCAAATGACTAATTCAGCAGTAAGTTTAAAAAATTGCTGCACTGCCCAATAACACAGTGCAATCTTCCATGTTCTGAATACACAAGGACCTAAAGCATTTTTGGAGCTGAGAATTTCTTACCATCCAGCTTGCCTGCACCTCAGACATTAAGGCTTGTGCATGTTGGTAACACATTCTGGCAAATCACACTTCCGTGCCTTAAGACATTACTCCCCTACAAATGGCCATACTGCCTTTTTGCTGAAGGCCACTGATCCTTCCACAGCTGTTGGTTAAAAAAATTCCATGCATGTTCATGAGCCTCAGTTTCTTCAAGGCAAAGTCAAATCCAGTGCAAAGAGAGACCTAAATCCACCGCCATCTCCCCATCCTCCCCCCGCCACAATCTTTGAACCTAAGTCACTGGATTTCACCAGGCAAACTAAACATCCTTTTCCACTGACTCTGGCGCAAAGACAATACTCTCAGGCAGAGGAAGAATAACACCATAAACCATTACTTCTGTTTATTAAGGGAGTGTGTGTCACAGGGCCTGTTCCCATTTATCACCCTAGTGATTTAAGAACATCCCCACCAAGCACATACATGGAAGTTATAATAGCTTATAAAGACAGACGGAACTGAAGAATACGGAGAAACTGGAAATGAATGGGTTAGTATTGCAATTAAAATTGTTAAAAATAGATAACTGCTGTAGGAAGATGTGCTTTCCTCCTCCTCATCTGCTCATGTTGATCTTTAGAAAAAGAGCAGGAGAAAATGCTAGTGGAAATAATTACTATTCAATGTAAATAACGAACAGAATAATTTAGTCTTCACATTTCTGTAAGAGAACTAAGAAAAGTTACATGAAATCTTTTTCTAAAACACTTTTGTTTGAAGGGAAAATAAAAATGAAACCAGATAAATGTGGGGTTTTTCCCAATAATGTACTTTATAAATCTGGTCACTCATGAGCCTGTAGTCTTTCACTGGAAGGAAAAAGGAGGCTGGAACCAGAGTAACACATAAGGATTCCACCATAAGATTGCCTGATAAACTGATGTCTTCTTTCCTTTCCTAGTCCTACTTCTCAGATTCTAGGAAAGCTGCTGAGCCTCAACTTCATGTGGCCTGTGGCTTTCCCACCATTCCTCTTCCACTTTCCTCTAGCACTGATGACAGTGTCCTTCTCTCACACAAAGTCACAGCTGAGCCCAAATACAATTCTAGCAAGGCTTTTTTTGTTTGCGGCAAGTTTCTAATGACAATATATTGCTGATCCTGTTTTTCTGTATGATCTTATTTTCATGGTATCTCACACAGAGGAAAAAGGAAGGAATGGAACAGAAAAAAAAAAACATATAGAAAGGGAATGAACAATATTTTCACCAAATTATCTGAATAAATAATGTGGCTTACCATACTACTGGGGAAAAAAGATGTAATATTTGCCCTAAAATTTTTGTGGGAGGGTTAAAAAGTACAGAAAACTAAACAACCAAAGCATACCTAAATTTAAATTTAGAACAAGTTTGGCTTTCTTCAGTTCCAAGGTGATATAGTCTCCTTGCTGTCCTTCTCCGTGGAAGATTACACCTTCGCTTTCAGAGGTCTTAAATTTCAGAGAGATGACATCCTTCAATGTTTTCATTTTCTTGTTCCTGAATCTGTATGGTAACACTACATGGCCATCAAAATTGATAACATCAGCCCCTAAAGGAAAAAGCAAATAACATTGTTGATGAGTGATTATATATTACTGTGGCCACTGGAAAAACAGACATGCCATATGTAGATTGTACCTGAAGAGAATAAAAAATGTGCAAGTGTGATATGCACTGTAAATACATTTTCTCTTGACCATAATTTAATACCATAAAAAGTAGGAACGAGGCAGGACATATATTTAATCCATAGCATATAAAAAAAAAGCAGATTCAGGCAGACAAATACTACAACTGTACTCAACATCTTTTGGTTTCTCTCAAATATAGTTGCTGCCATGCACACTTTCCTAATTATAGTTGAAAATGAAAGACAAACTTCAAGTAGTCATTAAGAATCCATTTGATGCCTCTTTAAAATCCAGTATAGATATCTGTGAAAACTGTAAATAGTAAAACATGAGCCCAAAGAAATTGCCTAGCAATTTTAAAAGATTCCTCAAACTGTGCGTAAACCATAGGCATAAGCCTTGTCTAGTTCAGTTTTATATGCAAACCTTGGGTAAGTTGTGACCTCAAGTAATTTTAAGAAGAAAAAAAGAGTTCTATCATTTGGGCTAATTTTTGTTCCAGGTTTGGTTTTATTCAAACTCTGGGAAGAAAATTGAGGAATGCAATCATTATCACTTAAAGTCAATCCAATATTCATATAAATATTGTGTAATGACACTACAAAATTTCATGTTGTCTTATTTTCATAACTTAATCTCTAATCTAAAGAATGAGCCACAATTTTCCACAATTTTCTGGAGGCTAGATCCACAGTAAAAATAGCTGCAGAACTTGATTCCATTCAACAGACATACTTCTGCTGAGTATTGAATTTTGTCTTTTAAGCAGAGCTCAGTAAAAGACAGTAAACAAATACTGATCTGTAAAAATTTATACAGATTTAAGAAATCCCCTTTGTAAACTGCTTAACCTATGATCAATCACCAGTGCCTTATTTTCACGAGCATTTCATCCTCAGTATTCACAACTGACAATTTAAATGGTCACTAAGCAAAATTCTTCAAAAGGAATTAATACAAAAATGTTCATTTTTTAAAAGAAAAAAGTATTTCCCACCCATATTCTTCAAAAACATTCACACTTCTTATTGGCACACCTTATTCATACCAGTCATTTCACACTCTGAATGAAATGAAGGATGGCATTTTATCTTATATTCTTCAACCATTTTTGCCTACTTCTGTGGGCTGCTCTTCAGTGACTGCTTGCAGCTTTTTAAAATTCCTAACTAATGACAATATATTGCTGATCCTGTTTTTCTGTATGATCTTATTTTCATGGTATCTCACACAGAGGAAAAAGGAAGGAATGGAACAGAAAAAAAAAAACATATAGAAAGGGAATGAACAATATTTTCACCAAATTATCTGAATAAATAATGTGGCTTACCATACTACTGGGGAAAAAAGATGTAATATTTGCCCTAAAATTTTTGTGGGAGGGTTAAAAAGTACAGAAAACTAAACAACCAAAGCATACCTAAATTTAAATTTAGAACAAGTTTGGCTTTCTTCAGTTCCAAGGTGATATAGTCTCCTTGCTGTCCTTCTCCGTGGAAGATTACACCTTCGCTTTCAGAGGTCTTAAATTTCAGAGAGATGACATCCTTCAATGTTTTCATTTTCTTGTTCCTGAATCTGTATGGTAACACTACATGGCCATCAAAATTGATAACATCAGCCCCTAAAGGAAAAAGCAAATAACATTGTTGATGAGTGATTATATATTACTGTGGCCACTGGAAAAACAGACATGCCATATGTAGATTGTACCTGAAGAGAATAAAAAATGTGCAAGTGTGATATGCACTGTAAATACATTTTCTCTTGACCATAATTTAATACCATAAAAAGTAGGAACGAGGCAGGACATATATTTAATCCATAGCATATAAAAAAAAAGCAGATTCAGGCAGACAAATACTACAACTGTACTCAACATCTTTTGGTTTCTCTCAAATATAGTTGCTGCCATGCACACTTTCCTAATTATAGTTGAAAATGAAAGACAAACTTCAAGTAGTCATTAAGAATCCATTTGATGCCTCTTTAAAATCCAGTATAGATATCTGTGAAAACTGTAAATAGTAAAACATGAGCCCAAAGAAATTGCCTAGCAATTTTAAAAGATTCCTCAAACTGTGCGTAAACCATAGGCATAAGCCTTGTCTAGTTCAGTTTTATATGCAAACCTTGGGTAAGTTGTGACCTCAAGTAATTTTAAGAAGAAAAAAAGAGTTCTATCATTTGGGCTAATTTTTGTTCCAGGTTTGGTTTTATTCAAACTCTGGGAAGAAAATTGAGGAATGCAATCATTATCACTTAAAGTCAATCCAATATTCATATAAATATTGTGTAATGACACTACAAAATTTCATGTTGTCTTATTTTCATAACTTAATCTCTAATCTAAAGAATGAGCCACAATTTTCCACAATTTTCTGGAGGCTAGATCCACAGTAAAAATAGCTGCAGAACTTGATTCCATTCAACAGACATACTTCTGCTGAGTATTGAATTTTGTCTTTTAAGCAGAGCTCAGTAAAAGACAGTAAACAAATACTGATCTGTAAAAATTTATACAGATTTAAGAAATCCCCTTTGTAAACTGCTTAACCTATGATCAATCACCAGTGCCTTATTTTCACGAGCATTTCATCCTCAGTATTCACAACTGACAATTTAAATGGTCACTAAGCAAAATTCTTCAAAAGGAATTAATACAAAAATGTTCATTTTTTAAAAGAAAAAAGTATTTCCCACCCATATTCTTCAAAAACATTCACACTTCTTATTGGCACACCTTATTCATACCAGTCATTTCACACTCTGAATGAAATGAAGGATGGCATTTTATCTTATATTCTTCAACCATTTTTGCCTACTTCTGTGGGCTGCTCTTCAGTGACTGCTTGCAGCTTTTTAAAATTCCTAACTTGTTTTTGCTATTATGGTGGGAATTAGTTTAAATCTTTCAGTCTCCCTCTAAAACACAGAAACAAACCCACTCCCATTGTGTAATTAACACAGAAGAATCTTTTAAAACTCCATTAAAACACTTTGTACACTATGCCTAAATAACTGCATATATTTCAGTTTGAATTTATATGGCCTACAGTAGCCGATTATGCTAAAACCTGTCGCCTTTGTTCTTACAACATATGTCAAACACACATTTAAGAAGTGCTTACTTTCAACTAATCTCTGAAATAATATTTTATACCCTGATTCAGAGAAGAGCCTAAACAAATGCGCACATCCATCCCTGTCTTGGGAATTTAGGAACCATCAAAATGGTCTGCTGAGTCAATTTTTACTACTGCTGTGTCCTCAATTGCTATCAAAGAACTGCTTATGTATAGCATCTGTATAGGTTGCTTTTTCACATTCTATAATTTCCAGAAGTACTTTTCACAGTGATATAAGAGCTATTTCAGTGCTGAAGAAGAGCATTCAATCAAGCTTCATGAGGTTTAGCATTTATTTTCTAGACAAAAGTATGTAAACCCACAACCAATATTTCACAGATGATTTCTATTTCATTGTTTAGTCAAAAAATCCACAAGCCATCTTGTATTCATTAACTAAAACACCCCCAGTTGAGACTGAGGCCTGCAGTCATGTTGATTAAATGCCTGTTCATACATCCTTACATCACTGAGCATAGCGAGTTTTCAAATATAAAGACCAACACATTATGCTTCCATCATTCTGGATTTTCCCCACAAATCACTAGTATAATAAATAGCTCTCCACTACTTCCAGATCATTTGCTTTGCTGACACAATGATTCTCTGCATGCTGAAGAAGTATGTGATATCTGTTTCTGGTTGATACAACCATTTGGCCTCTCTATATCTTTAATAAATCTGTATGTATAATCACAATATGGTCATTATCCTCAGTTGACACAAACTGTTGACACTCTAGGGATTATTACAAATTGCAGAAGTTAAGAACTTTGCTACTTTGCAGAAACTATGTTTATGGTTCCTAAGACTGATATGGGGGAAACGTGACAGTGGACAGTTGCTGACCTACAGGTCCACATAATTTATATTAAAGACAAAATTATGGCTCTCAGGCAGCATGGATCATCAGAGCTTGTGATTTTACCTTCACAATGCTGCTGCTGCTATTTAAGCTTAAGAGTTTTAAAGATAAGTAATGTTTCCTGCAAACTAGCATCAAGCGTATGTATTTCAGAGTCTGCCTGAGATCAAGATATAAGACATGATCTCGTACTCATACTCACACATTTGGCTCAGATACAAAGGCCACTAGTATTAATGGAAGGAGCATTAAGCATGTCAAAAAAGCTGTGTTAAACCTGGAAAGTAAGTCTAATCACTCTCTCTACCTTTTCAAGTTAGATCAGAAAAAAGTCATAGAAATAAACTTTCTTTCTCTACTCACAACAGCCAAAGACTCCACAAAATTCTTCCTATGGGAGTCAAAGACATCTAGAAGACTGAGGATGCAGATTCTATAATGCAAGTTTCCTCATGTCTCCATAAGATGTTGCCCCTCTCCTTTCTAAAAGATTAATAGGCATATGTAATGCATTTCTGTTTCACACAAGTTTTTTGACATATTCGAATCAGTAGCAGCTGACTGTCATCAAACAGATGGGTAATAGCCACTGAAAGATTTGAAGGCTCTTTCCAATGGCAAAGATGTATACGTTTTTCTTAATGCATAGACTTTTTCATGGATCACGTTGACCTATTACCTTTGGAAAGGAGGTCAAAGGGAAGAGTTTTAGATTTCTGAATTTTTAGTTCCAACTACTTCTTCAAATTTTATAGAACCATATGCTGAATCTTCCATAGCATTATTTCACCCTTAATTACTGGGTTAGAAATAACCTGTGCCACGTATACCTTCCATTCCTGCCATTACTTACATCACATAACTGGAAGCACCAGTTCTAGACTCTTCTTGCCATTAGAAAGAAGAGAGGCAGGTAGACAGAGATGTTATTTGCACAATAAACATGCAGTCTCTGTTCATCTCTGCTTCTGATCAGACAACAAACTAAGACACTCGGACCCAAAGGTGTTGGATTTGTTGTTAGCAGTTGAAGTCTGCAATGAAGCAGATTGCAAACATATAAGTTGAACCTACCCCCAAATCTTCCTAAACCTGCAAAGACTTTTGACGAAATGATAAACTTTGACCCTCTTATTGCTTATGCCAACTAAATGGTGAAGAAATTTTATTCAGTACATAAAACATGAGCATTATGAATTGACTGCAATAGCCCATATTTACTAGTTTATAATATATATCTCATGTATATCAGAATGCAGAAATATATATTAGAAATATCACTTTTCTTTATAAAACATACCTTACAATACACATTCCAGTAATAAATACTTATTAAGCTCTAAGTGCAAGTACAACTCTCAGCCTGATCTGGTTCTTTTGAACGACAAATTCCAGGAATGTGAATCAGCTCAAAATTAATATCAGAACAGCATGTTGTATTTGCAGTGCAAGAAATCCCTTAAAAAGTTATCAGCATGCAAGGAGGACACATTTTTGCAGGCATAGATGCAGATGTCGCTTTCAGAAATGAGGCCACCCTGGTTCACATTTTGAGTCTGTATTCAGAAGCAACAGTATCTGATTTCAGAGGTGGTGTTATCTTGTATAAGCTCATGACTCAAGTAAATACATTACTTCTGGAATTTGTTTTGAAGAAACAAAGAAAATGGTTAGAAAAATACTGTAACAGAGATTATATCAATCCGTTGTTTTTGCTTGCCTTACAAGCTGTCAAGAGATCCAAGAAATGCCTTCTTGAGATTTTTGTTTGTACTTTTAGAAAAGAACTTTGAGAAAAGCATGAAATTTTTTTATACAAAAAAATATCTACATGAAAGTCACTCTGTTATCACAAAAATCATACTTCTACGTAAAGCAAATTTGCTATATAGATTATACTCTTTTGAATCTACATACACTGCCTTGAACAAATGCTACACATGAAAGAAAACTGACGGACATTACCACTTAAGCAACCTTCATAACAAATATACATCATAAAAATAGGATTCCATATACAATGTCAGAGATTCTCTTCCACTGACATTTGTTAGATTTACTTTCCAATGGTTATAGGAACCCCTACATGGGGTATATCATCTTTCCCCTAAGGCCAGCTGGTACCACTTTGTAACATCTGCAAAAGTTACCTTAACAGTCAGGCATCTGATCCAGACCTGATCAGGACAATGACTCAACTTCTGTGGGTTTGTGGATTCACAACATGCTGCCTATGAAAAGGGAAGTATCCCTTTTGTACCTATGCCATTCTTGCAGCTATGCATTTGTGTTCTTCGCATCATTCATTGAAGCAAATTCACATCACACACTTTAACAAAGCTGAGTAGAAGTAGCACATTTTTTCCAAAACCTGGCCCTGAATTGCCATGTTTTGAAAATCATTCAATTAAAAAAAGAAACAGCAGTAATCTTTGATTAAGCACCTTTTTTTTTTTTTTTTTTTGCGCATAGCTGTGCTGGCAGCATGCACATGGGTCTGCATGATAATTCAATCACCTAAAGATTACATAGCAATTATGTTTAAGAGTTATCATATGTAGAACTGTGGTAATGACTTGTGTTCCTTCTATGATGACACTCAGTTATTTAATATCATGATAATTACCATGA